GTTCTGGAGAATGTCCCTCCATGTGGGTTTGTCTGATGTTTTGTCATGAGGTTATGGATTCTTTTGGAAGACTACCAGAGGTGATGTGCCCTTGTTTTATCAGGGGGCACATGATACTGATATGACTTATTACTGGTGATGTTAACATCAATTATTTGGTTAAGGTGGAGTTTGCTACAGTTCTCCACTAAAAGGTGGTTTTTTTGTTTTTGTTTTTTACATTCTCTGTTTGAAGCAAGACACTAGATCCACAGCCCACATTAAAGTTCCACCTGCTGGAGAGAAGGGTATTAAATGGTATGTGGTCGTATATTAAAATCACAAAATTAATTTACAGGGAAATACTCTAAGGCTAGCCAAATAGACTTTTCCTCCTTAAAGTCTCCACCAATTTCAGATTTCATTAATAGATCTTGCCTACTGTAATTATTACTATGGTGTTCTAATCTTCATTTTCTTTTCCATTATCAAAAATATTCTGGCCCAGCCAGTGTGGCTCAGTGGTTGAGTGTCAACCTATGAACCAGGTCACGGTTTGATTCCTGGTCAGGGCACATGCCCAGGTTGCCTGCTTGATCCCTGGTGTGAGGCATGCAGGAGGCAGCCAACCAATGATTCTCTCTCATCACTGATGTTTCTATCACTTTCTCCCTCTCCCTTCCTCTCTGAAATCAATAAAAATAACAATGGGGACATCTGTAATACTTTCGACAAAAGAAAAAAAATTATCCTGTAAGAAAGATTTGTCCCTCCACCCCTACTATTCATCCAATCATTTATAGAATGGGATTCAGGAATATTTGTTTTATTTTTTTAGTTAACCAGTACCACCTCTTCTGTGATGCCCTGAGGATACACCGCTTCAGTGCTGCCACCCATTTTTTCCTTTTGTTTTTTGAGCACTTCCTTGCTTTCTTGCACCACAAGATGTTCCAGGCCCATCTTTTATTTCCTTTGTTCCAGTTGTAGAATCAATCATTTCTCCAAGGAGCCCAGGTTCTCTCACTGGAGAACTACAGTTAAAAAACAAGTTCTGGCTTTGTTCTTCTTTTCCGACGAAAGACCAAATGGCGGATGATGCCGGTGCTGTGCGGTGGCTTCCGTGGAGGATTTGGCAGCAGCTGGGTAGGGGCAGAGGCCGAGGCCACGCAGCTCGTGGAGGCAAGGACAAGGACAAGGAGTGGATCCCTGTCACCAAGCTGGGCCGCCTGGTCAAGGACATGAAAATCACATCCCTAGAGGAAATCTATTCTCCTTGCCCATCAAGGAATCTGAAATCATTGACTTTTTCTTGGGGGCATCCCTCAAGGATGAAGTCTTGAAGATCATGCCTGTGCAAAAGCAGACACGTGCTGGCCAGAGGACCTAGTTCAAGGCATTTGTCGCCATTGGGGACTACAATGGATATGTTGGTCTGGGTGTTAAGTGCTCAAAAGAAGTAGCCACTGCCATCCGTGGAGCCATTATCCTGGCCAAGCTCTCTATTGTCCCTGTGGGGTGAGGCTACTGGGGAAACAAGATCGGCAAGCCCCACGCCGTACCTTGCAAGGTGACTGGCCGCTGTGGCTCTGTACTGGTGCGCCTCATCCCCGCCCCCAGGGGTACGGGCACTGTCTGGGCCTCTGTGCCTAAGAAGTTGCTGATGATGGCTGGTATTGACGACTGCTACACGTCGGCCAGGGGCTGCACTGCCACCCTGGGCCACTTCGCCAAGGCCACCTTTGACGCCATCTCTAAGACCTACAGCTATCTCACCCCAGGTCTCTGGAAAGAGAATGTGTTCACCAAGTCTCCCTATCAGGAATTCACTGACCATCTTGTAAAGACCCACACTGGAGTTTCTGTGCAGAAGGCCCAGGCTCCAGCTGTGGCGACCACATAATTTTATACAAGAGAAATAAAGTGAATTAAGCCTGAAAAAAAAACACAAAAAACCAAAAACAAGTTCTGGTCCTAGCTGGTTTGGCTCAGTGGATAGAGCGTCAGCCTGTGGACTGAAGGGTGATGGGTTCGATTCCGGTCAAGGGCACATGCCTGGGTTGTGGGCTCCGGCATGCAGGAGCCAATCGATGATTCTCTCTCATCATTGATATTTCTATCTCCCTCTCCCTTCCTCTCTGAAATCAATAAAAAAATATTTTAAAAAAAGTTCTGTGTATGTATTTTAATATTTAGTAAAGTTACTCCTTCCACATTACACAAGCTTAAAAAAATTTTAATATTCACATCTGTTTTTCTTTGACTAATTTTTTCAGTCACCACTAATTATTTAAAGCCTGCTAATTTGTGCCAGAAAAAATAAAAGCACCTATTTTTTAGTTACTACTTTTAATAAAGTTATAAATGACCCAAATGTCCATCAATGAAAAAAATGGGCAAATCCATTCTGGTATTTTGATAGAGACAATGGAATACTATTGACAGAAAGAAAATAAATTATAGCTACACTTTTAATGTGTATGATGTACTGTGGAAAAATACATTCAGGAAAACACTATTTATAAAAAGTTTAAAATATGCAAGAAATACTATGTATTATTTTTTTAAAAAATTTATTGAGGTAACACTGGTTAATAGCACTATATAAGATCCAGGTGTACAACATTATAATCTGACAACTGTATACACTACAATGTGTTCAACACAAAGGAGATTACATATAAGTAGTATGCAAATACATGAAAAAAAATAAAACAAAATTTAGGAAACTGGTTTGGAGGAGGAGTGGCAGTAAAGAGAAATGTGATCGGTGAGGAGTATACAGGGAATAGCAATTCTATTAGCAATGTTTTATTTTTTTGAGTGTGTGACAAATACACTGATGCTCAAAACACTTCATAATATTTATTTTATTCGTATTTATTTATTTAAATATGTTTTTATTGGTTTTTAGAGAGAGGAAGGGAGAGGGAGAGAAAGACAGAAACATCAATGAAAAGAATCATTGATTGGCTGCCTACTGCACACCCCTTACTGGGGATCAAGCCTGAAACCCAGTCATGTGCCCTGACTGGGAATCAAACTGTGACTTCCTGGCTCCTGTGTCAATGCTCAATCACTGAGCTACACTGGCCAGGCTCATAAGTTCTTTTTAAAGATATAAACAAATGAGGAAGATTAAGTAAGAATAATCAAGTAGTTAATCCATATGAGAACAGTTGGGAAACACCTAACTATCACTCAGAATAAGCTTTTGATAGACTGATGTTTTAAGCCTGGGAAGACAAAAACAGAAAGAGAATACACAACTATAAAGAGTATAAGTAGAATCACTAGATACTAAAACATAAAGCTCTGGGAACTTAAAATCAGACTGATTATTTCAAAGAGGTAATATGGTCGGAAACATAAAGGTTAAATATAGTTACTTCTCAGTGATAATGTTTTATTAAAAGGAAGCTAAAATACTGAAGAAAATAAAGAGCTAAAAAACAATGGGACACACTGAGAAGATAAAGGGTCCAGCCTAAAGGATTCCCACTTGCTAAACCTGGGATAATTTGGGCTTCAAAATTACAATGGCTGTAACCCACTGAATAAAATAAGAACCCATGGGTCCATATGATAAAAAGTAAGAATTGGTTTAGGCCAATAGCATCTTAACCAAGGGATCAAAGTTAATACAGCAGGTCCTGGAATAATGTCATTTTGTTCCACGCTGTTTTGTTATTTTGATGAGATGTTGCAGGAACTTAACTCTTGTTTATTATACCAATTAGCCTATAGTAAAATTGGTTTCATTATACACCATTTTGCTTAAAGTCACAGAACCTACTGATGATGACAAATGAGACAAACATCATGTGCCTTCCATGTGATGTGATGCACTAAAGATACCACTTCACTGATATTCCTGCCAAAAATGCATCTTCTGAATCATGATTATGGGGAAAAAGATAAACTCAAAATTGAGGGACTCTACAAAATGAATGGCCTATACCAGTGGTCGGCAAACTCATTAGTCAACAGAGCCAAATATCAACAGTACAACGATTGAAATTTCTTTTGAGAGCCAAATTTTTAAAACTTAAACTATATAGGTAGGTACATTGTTATTAACTTAATTAGGGTACTCCTAAGGCTTAGGAAGAGCCACACTCAAGGGGCCAAAGAGCTGCATTGGCTCGCGAGCCGCAGTTTGCCGACCATTGACATTCCAAAATGTCAATATAATGAAAAACAAAGTCCAAGGCCTATACTATTCCAAAATGTCAATATAATGAAAAACAAAGTCCAAGAAATGTTTCAGATTAAAGAATAGGAGATTTGACAAATAAATGCAATGTATGATTCCAGACTGGGGGAAAAAATGATATAAAGAACATTATTGGGACAATTGGAGAAATCTGAATATGGTTTTGAAATGGGGTAATTGTATATCAATGTTAAGTTTCTTGATTTTAATAACTCCACTGTAGTTATGTAAGAAAATGTCACTGTTCTTAGAAAACACTGAACTATTTAGGGGTGAAAGGCATAATGATTGTAACTCATTCTCAAATGGTTCAGAAAAAAACAGTATTTTGGGTACATATACAAATAGATACAGACACAATTAGGTAGATGGCAAAATGTTAACTGGTGCCTTGGCTGGTGTTGTTCGGTGATTAGAGCGTCAGCCCTTGGACCAAAGGGTCATGGGTTCGATTCCACAACAAGAATCTTAATTGGCAAGTCTAGATGAAAGATATAGGAAGTTCTTTTTAAAATTTTTGTAATATTTGTGTCCTTTTGAAATTAAAAAATTGTTACAATATAAAAAGAATACTGTAGAGACATTTTATGTCTTAAAATTAACAGAGGGCAATTACCATGCTTTCAAAGTATTTCTCAGTTTCAACAGCAGACGGTGATTAGGCCTGAGATTTCTGTTAGACTTTTACTTATAGTAATAAATTCTTGTTGACCATTAAAAACACCCTTTGCAGCTTTGGTCAAAAGACTCTCAAAAACAGAAGAGGCTCATCTCATATGAATAATACATGTGCACTTCCTTTTACCTGAGACATCCATCTGTCATCTCCTTGAATATCTTCCGCTGCATGTGGAATGGCTGCTGGGTTTGAGTCTCCTTGGCTCATTCTATACCTGAGGAAAATAATGTGTGTGTCATTTTTCATCCATTAACAGGAATGTTTATTTGTTACTGCTTACTTAAGTACTACATGCTAGTAAATAAAATTTAAGTTTTGTTGTGGCTTTGCATGGAAACAAAAACAACTGGACTTTATTTTCAGCAGAGATGAATTCCAGGACACAACTGCTTAAGTCCCATAAATATCCAGCATCACTAAACTCCAAGGCAGGTCTGAGTATCATTTAGAAACAGTGCATTACATTTAAAAAGCCTGCTCCGAGTAATTAATTTTTCATGATTGCATGTTACTATTCTACCAAAGGACACCTATAGTTCAATGAAATCTACATTAGAACTTTTTAGGCTGCTAGTTACATACTTAAGAATTACTATAGCAGTGACTAGAATCCACTCTTTACAACATCACGCAAATAACTGTACTACATGTTATGACCAAATTGGCCATAGGCTTTGGCCTGGTTCTTTTTTTATTTTTATTTTTTTTATTTCTTAAAGTATTACAAAGAGTATTACACATGTCTCCCTTTTTTCCCCTGCCCCTTGACATTCCCCCGGCCTCCCCTACCCCCCAGTGTCTTGTGTCCATTGGTTATTCTCATATGCATGCATACAAGTCCTTCGGTTGATCTCCTACCCCCC